ATTCCTTCCTCACTTAGCTTACTGTTTCATTAGAGCTGGGCTAAGAACATCCTTCAATCCTTCCTCTCTCTCCCTCCACCACAGCCGTCACCTTCACCGGCGGCCACCCTCTCTCTGTTTCGAAAACCGCCTTTAATCCTTCGTTCCTCTCTCTGTTTTCCCTTTCTTTCTCTTTTGAAAACCAATTACATAGTTTGAAAAATCCTTCCACCGCCCTGAGGTTGCTCCACCACCTAGCCGCGCCACCCCCCTAAGGCTCCTCCACCACCGAGCCGCGCCACCGGCCTGAGGGTCCTCCTCCATTTGCCGTGAGTGCCCTGAGTCTCCTCCTAGCTGCTGCCCTAATTGTCTCCTCCACCACCTAGCCGCTCCACCCCCCTAAGGCTCCTCCACCACCGAGCCGCGCCACCGGCCTGCTGCCCTAATTGTTTCAAGGTTTATTTTTAATTTTTTTTTACATTATTTTCCAATTATATAATTATATATATTAATTTGTTTTGCATTTTGAACCATTGTTAGTAAATTAAAATTTAGGTTTGAATATAATTTTTCTCAATTTTAGGTTTGAATATAATTGGGAAATTGTGAAAATATAAGAGATTAGTAACCTTGTTACTCAATTAGTTGGATTTTATTATGTTTTAATGGTTAATTTAATGTGTTTTGGTGGATAATTTTGAAATAATTATAGAAAATATATTAACCTTGGTACTTAATTAAATCGGTGAAATTTGGTATTTTACTTTTAATTGTTAATTTGAAGTTGTTTTGATGGATTATTTTGAATAAGTTAGTGATTAGTTAACTTTGTTATTAAATAAGTTGAATTTTGGAATGTTTAAATGGTTAATATGTAGTTGTTTTGATGGGTATATTTGAATTAATTTGAGATTAGTAACCTTGATTGTTACTAAAGTAAATGAATTTTAGAATGGGTGAATGGTTACTTTTAAGTTGTTTTGATGGGTAATTTTGAAAAAATTAGAGATTAGTAACCTTGTTAGTTTAGAAATTGTTAGTTCAATGAATGATGTGTTTTAGCTTATAAATAAATTAGTGAATTGAAATGTTATGAGAAATAAATAGTACATACCTTATATATAACCTAATTTTTGTATATTGTTTTTTTTTAACAGATTTGTGAATTGAAGCACGAGTTTAATTAGCTTGAGGACTACATATTGAGCTTAAGTGGGTAGTTTCTATATTGGTATGGCTTATAAACTTTACTTAGCTATATTTCTTTCTATTTATCTATTTAATAAAAGTTTATTCATGAAATTGCAACTTGTGTATTGTTGAATTGCAAATAAATACAATAATATATAGAATACTTGCATCATCATATGCCTAGATACCCGTTCAAGGCTTTCTCATTAGGAGAAAGTCTTGAATAGTCCCCGGTTGGGACTGTTCTTGAATGTGTACTCTCACATAGGTGGTGAATGTATGTTTTCTTTTCGATTTTAAGGAACATCTTGGCTTACCATTTCCTCACTATGTTCTCTGGGTACATATGTGGGTAATTAATTATCTACATCGTGTACTTGGAGAACTAAGGGGAAATGCTGCTGGATTTTCCTTAAAATTGGAAATTTGACATACATTCACTAGTGAGAGTAGACATTCAAGGATGGGTTAGGTTGGAGTGATAAGGACCCTTTGGAAACATGCATTTTTTCACTATATGAATGGTATATTCACGTTTTGTACTTGAATTTGATTTACATAAAATATGTAGCACTTACACATTATAAATTATATGGTTCTATATATGTTTAGGTACAATTTACTAAATGGAGAAGGATCGTGGTTGGATGTATGGTAGACGCGATACATTGGAATTTTGGAATGGGGTTCAAGAGTTTTGCGAGAGGGCTTTAGCTTATCAACGAAAACTGGGTGGCAAAGGCCTTTATTGTCCTTGTGTTGATTGTAATTATGTCGTGGGTTTAGGCAATTATACCATGTGTGGATTTGGCACGGAGAAAGTGGAGAGTACAGTGGGGTTCTTGATCGGAATGATGTGCGTGTTAGAAGCAATGAGATTCATGTGGACTAGGAATACGAGAATGATGACTATATTGTTGAAAATGGTGAGGAAAGAGCCGATGATGATCAAGCGGATGAGGTCGAGGATGAACAAGTGGATGAGATGTGGCATGGTGTTGAAGGTGAAGTATTTGAGTTATTATCGGAGGCTTCCAAAAAGCCTTTGTATCCCGGGTGCAAAAAATACTCCAAACTATCGGCCGTGCTAACACTTTTCGACATTAAGTCGAAGCATGAGTGGACGGACATCAGTTTTACTTCTTTGTTGACCACATTAAGATATGTAAGCAACTTTTTTTTTGTATTGCGTTTCGGAATATTTATATCTATATATATAATTGAATTCTTCTTTTTAATATTATTTTTGTATCTTATTGTAATAATTAATAATTTTATTATTATTAGTTATTATAATAATAATATTATTAATTATTATATTTAATATAATTGCTGGAATTACAGGTTATTATTATTGCTGGAAACAGGTTTTTTTTTTTTAATATTATTGCACGAAAATTGGAAAAAAAAATTGGTGAATAGGCACCGGTTAGGCACCAACCGGTGCCTAAAATAGCTACCACCAAAAAAAAATTGGCGGGAGAGCAGTTAAAGGCACCGGTTAACCGGTGCCTAATTGGGCATATAGCACCGGTTAACCGGTGCCTATTTTACCCTATGGCACCCGTTTTGAACCGATGCCAAAAATTGGGTTTTTGGCACCGCCCACTTAGGCAGCAGTTCAAACCGGTGCCTTAGACCGGGTTTGAACCGCTGCCAAACCCCTTTTTTCACCTAGTGTAAACATGCATAAAAGGCGTGATCAACCAATAACATTAAAATATCTAGCAACATAATAATAATAATCATAACAATGATACTAACAAGATTAATAACAAACCCTAGCATGTCACTAATCAATAAAAATCAAAGCTTTAGCCCTAACATGATACTAACAATCATAAATATTAGGAAAGAATATAAAAAGCTTCATACTTTTAATCATACTTGATATTAGGATTTTTTAGTTGTTACCCTAAACATGATACTAGGAAGATCAAAACACCCTAACATGACGCTAGGAATCATAATAACAACCTATACATGATGTCTACATCATAATATCAATAAAAAACCATTAAAGCACTTACTTGTATGCCTCGTATCTCTTTCTAATAACAAAATACACGCGTTAGTAACATCAAGCAAAATAATAATCAAACAATCAAATTAAATAATTGAAAGAGAGATTTGGGACCAAACCCTCATAAATTAAAACCTTTCACGTCTATGGTGAAGGCAACTTCGAACAATGCTAGATGTTTCTTGATCTTGTGAATGTGGAATTTTGTTTGTAAAAAGGTTGGTTTAGAAAAGAGAGAGAAGAGAATTAGAGAGAATAAGAAATGATGATTGTTGGTGATGAAAAACAGAGATTTAGGAGGCTATTTATAGAGAAAATCAGCCAAACGGATAGAAAAACAAATTAGAGTTTCGACGAGGAAAAAAGAAGTTAGCGCCAGGCGCTAATGTCTGTCGTCAGGCGCTAATTAATTTTTTCATGCGTTTTCTCAATTCAGATAAAATTTAACCGTAAAGAAGGGAAAAATCGTATCTTCCTTAAAAACACTCTTTTATTCTGATTAAAACTCTAAATAGTCAACAAAAGTCAATTTATCAATGCTAATTGAATTAGGAATGAAAAGAACCTTCTAGAAGAATCTAGAAGACTAAAACCAATCCTAATTGAATTAGGAATGATAAATCCATATTAGGCCCTCCTCTAGATCATTGGGCCGCATATAAGGCTCAAACTGGGCCTAGTTTAGTAATTTGGCCATAACTTCCTCATTATTAATCGGAATTGGGCTTAAAATATACCGTTGGAAAGCTTTTTTCAAGCCCCATCCAACTACAACATTATTGGACCCATAATATGGACCAACCAAATTGGATTGGCTGTTTTATTAAAATAGATTTTGAAAAATAGAGAGAAAAGAAAAGAAATTAAAACTATCTGCAACACTAGACTTTCCACACTTTCACTTCATTCGATTATGATTCGACGTGACAGGTACTCATCACCGGGTTTGGTTTTGGGGAGACACAAATGGGTGTCTACATTTACCATCTACTATATTTGTTAGATATTTGTCTTTTAAATTAAAGAAGCACTCAAAATCCTTATAATAATATTCATTTATTCTAGGGATTACTGCAAGAATTAATGCATGGAAGCCTAAGATAGCACCGAATTCTTCCGACAAAGGGCTAATTTCATCACACCCTAGTCTAAAACAATGAGTATCCACATCCAAATATTCTAAGGCGGTATGAATGAAGTTTATATCAAGATCTACCCCTTTGACACCATAAATACCCCCCATATGAAAAAAGTCTAATTCTTTTCTCTCCTTGGCAGTTAGAGACCAATACCATTAATAAGTGAAGTTGGTAAAACTCTTAGTGATTAAAGACATGATTATTTATTTTTTCTAAAAGCTAAGACTATATTTAATCTGATGAAATTGTGAAGAAAATCGGCAGATCAGGGGGCTATTTATACACAACATCGGCACAGTTTCAATCCGAAAAGGATTCGGAGTCAACGCTCATCAGCGCCAGACGCCAGACCTTGGCGCCTAACGCTAGACCCTGGCGCCTAACACCAGAGCATGGCGCCAAGCGCTAAGAATTAGCGTCTGGCGCTAACACAACACGCGTGGCGCCTGATGGCGCTGACGTGTCTTATCATACAAGCTTTTCAAAAACCGCGTTTTTCTGGCTGATTCGAGTCTGAACAATGGCTTTACAATCTTTTATCCTTTTTATTCCCTTTTCTTAATTAAGTATATCAATTATATTAATTATATTTTTTGGATTTTACTTAGACTTAATTTTTATGTTTTTTGTAAATCCAATATTTTTATTTGTATTTTCTTTTTTTTTTTGGGAGAAAGTCGGATGCCCTCCATCAATAATAAAAATGACGAATTTTTTGCGCAAAACTATTAATTATCACAATTCATTGCACACATAAACATGCACATAATATAATAAATAAATGTTTAAATTAATAAATTAATAGTGGTATGTATATACAAATATGTCTAATAAATGAGTCTAATAAAGGAAAAGTTCTAAACAAAGTCAAAATAAAAAAAGCACAGTTAAAAACTACGGTGCCGAAGGACGCAGATGATGAGAGACACCCATCAAATCATAAAACTACGTAGTACGAGGAGTAACCTCTCCACCAGCTCTAGCTTCAGTCTCATCGGGAGGTGGAAAACTCAGCTCAGGACCCGCCATCCAAGATCACCCTGGGGCTGTGGCTGCGGAGGCTTATGCGATGACAAGCCGACCTCGTATATCCAACTACCTCTAAGAGCCGTGGTAGCCTCTCCCTGGCCTACCAGCCCAACATGTGCACCCTCAGATGAAGAGCCCGAGCCCTCCACCGCCTCGGTCCGAGCAGCCTCAGAACGACCACCGTAACCGCCAGAGCCAGTACGGCAACGTCTCGAGCTAGACCTCGCCGGGTCTCTCCACACCTCAAGTTTCGTCCGGGTACGAGAAGGAATGGGCTGACCCTGCAACAAGAAACTAAGTCAAAAACAATCAAAATAGAAGCAATAATGCAGAAAGGAAAACTACCTTCTGAATGGCGTCGTCGCGACGACACGAAGCCACATTCCTCATCCGAATGAGCTGGCTCCGGAAGGCATCTATACACCGTGCCATCGCCGTGATCACTCGCGCGATAACAGTCAAAGAAATTTAGTCAGTAACAATGCATAACATACATGAACAAAATTGAAAATAAATAAAGCTTACCCGAGTCTGGTGACGAGGAATCTACCGCTCCACGAAGTGCTCATCCTCGGGAGCCAAAGGAATCATCTCCTCAATCGGCCCGTATGTCCCCTAATAATGGGTGGACATACGAGGTGGCACGAACTCAGTAGGTCTCGCATGACGAAAGCAAATCAAAGTCAGTAAGATATCACTTGGGTGCTACTTAACAAAAGGTAAAACATGGAAATCATGCCGCCACCTCCTCGACTAGAACAGGGGTTGGAGCTAACAGAGGCATTAGCAGCAGCTCCACCTCATAGCACCGCCCAGGGATTGTATAAGATTGCCAAGGGGTACCATCTCTCTCTAACATATTCACCAGCCTCACGCCATTGAACATATGACACGGTGGAGAAGCAGGAACGACAAAAGTGTCTGAGGAATGCTGAATGGCAACCCTCTCTCCAAGATATGCAATCGCCCCATATGTCCCTATGAAGTAGCGACGCTCGGCGGTATACTGCGCAGCTAACCCAGGGACAACCAAGTTGATCCATGGCCGGTACTACACGTTAGGCTCCTGCAAAGAACGCTTATGAGATAAGAATCTACAAAAGGTAATACAAAAGTGTTTAACAATATAAAGAACCATACCGAGATGATCTGATCTTGGACATAAGCAGTAGACATCTCAGCCCGGCGGCCTCATCAACAGGCACTCACTAGAAACCTGCGCAGCGACGGTCTCGCCAGTGCAACTAAAGGAAAGTACTCGTAGAACCAGATCTAGAAAAGGAAAAAAGTATCAGCAAGTGCTAACCAAAGTTTAGAGCTAAACTTTATGGGAGATAAAGTATACCTCTACTACTCTCCAGAAGGCGAACAGAGCGACGTTCCCCGTGAAGGACCGATGTCGACACGAGTCTCGTACCGCTCGAACAAAGTCAGCATAGGCCAAGCTGGCCCAGTCATAAGTCCCGATCAAGTGAAGATCATGGACCGCAGGTAGGTAGTAAAGCAGCACTCTACTACCCTTGTTAAGGGAAAACATCCCTGACAACAAGATAAGCACAAAGATACGTACCTGCTGCTTTCGGGTGGTCACATCATCCTCGAAAGCTGCCGCCAGAGCCAATCGGCGAATGCCTTTAGCGCTAAACTGAGTCGACTCTACCTTAGCACGAGCCTGAACAGCAATCAATCCCAACAGCTCCTCAACCTCAGGAGAGAAGATACTAATCTCGTTGTCAAACGGCAGCACAGTAGAACTAAACTCCAGTCTCGTAATGAGACTTAAGTCGGTCGGGGTGACCATCATCTCACCCCAAGGGAAGTGGAAAGTGTTGGTGGTGTCCCAAAAGAACTACACCAGAGCACGAGCCACGTGGTGACCCCCGCTAGAGGTAATCATGGCCTCTGAGGTCTCAAACAGTGCAGTCAACCCGCAAGATTCCCAAAGAAGTCTCACCTCTCCATCGACAATGATATGCATCTTGTACAGGTCGCCTAGGGTATCGCAGCCTGAGCCATGGTAGCGCGTCCTACCAACTGTGATCTCACGTCGCACCCTCTCAGAAATATGGTGGACGGGGGAGAAGTACATGAGTCCGCTCATCTCACTCAGAGAGGGGACCAAGAGAAGTGGACGGTTCGGCGTCCTCTACGGGCTCATGCTCCCGTCGTGTGTCTCGGGATCATGAACCCGAACCTCGTTGTCTAGCCATGCTACATTGTGCAAAATCATCATAAATTAAGGTTCTATAGTATCTAAGGTTCGCCTAGCCGCATGATACTATATTCGCAAAAAAACAGAGTAAGTAGTACTAAAACAGTGCACAATTTCATATTGAGCATACACGACATTTTTCAAGCAATCAAATAATTTCTTGCAATACTATGGTAATTATTGTGACAAATTGGACAAGAATTGCTAGCAAGAACACCAAGAAAAAGCCACATTGTATTCCCGACCTTAAGAGGTCCAACAATGGTGATTTGTCCGTTTCTTCACCAAATTAAGTAAAAAAAGTCTCAAATTACTCCCCAGGCAATATATAAACATAATCGAGCAATTTCATGGCATAAAATTTGACAAACAAAGTGAATTAAGAATTATAAGTTTCAAATTTTGAAGAAATTCATGAATAAACATGTGCAAAATTCATCAAAACCAGAGTGAGTTTGGAGAAAACTTGCATAGATTGGGAAAGTAGATGAAATAAGCTTTTATTTTTAACAAATTTGAGTGAATTCGGTTGAGAAACGAGCAAGAACGTGTGAATTGAACTTCAACGGCAATTTTCTCGAGCAAAAGCAAGCAGCAGCAGCAAAAAGGACGAAGAAAGGGATATACTACCTCCGTTACACATTATGTGCAACGATTTGACATAAAGTAGAGAGGAAAAATGTCTAATCGTTGCACATAATATGTAACGGAGGTAGTGTACAGAAATCCCGACTCTAGCGCCAAGCGACAGGCCTTGGCACCAGACGATAAGGTTTAGCGCATGGCGCTAGAGCCAAATATGTGGCGCCAGTGGAAATTCAGCGGCGATAGAATGTTCAGCCACTCAGTGTGGTTACTTCGACCTCTTACAACAATTTTGGGTTCCTTGGTACGCCAGTTATCCCCTCTAAGCAATTTGACATGATTTAGTAATCGGCTTGATTACAATTGCATAAAGTGATCGACCAGATGAATGATCGTCTCACTTAGCTTAAAGCGCCTAAGCATTGGCTCATCGCAAAGCACCGACATAATGGTTCATATAGCAAAAGCACCAACATAATGGTTCATACAGCAGAGGCACCGACATATTGGTTCACAATTTAGAAGGCACCGACGTACTTATATAGCGGAAGCAAAGTTCAAGCGAGCTTTAAAGATCGACAAGCGTAGGTCTTTGGTAATTTTCCTCGGAATATTATCGCAACAAATGAGGATAGCTTTAGGTGAGGATATCTTCAACAGCATTCCCTAGCTTGCAGAGAGTTGTCACAAACAGTTGGAGGTGATTTCAAGCGAAGTTATCTTCGATCGTGTTCCCTGGCTTGCGGAAGATGGTCACAAAGCGTTAGAAGGTGGTTTCAAGCGATGCAATCTTCGATGGGGTTCTCTAGCTTGTAGAAGTCTATCATGGCAGAATTGGAGGCAGTTACAAGCGTAGCAGTCTTCAGGCGACATTCTCTAGCTTGCAGAAGTTCGTCAAAACAAACAGCAGGATGGTGTTCCCTGGCTTGCGGAAGGTTATCAAAAATACAGCAACAAATCGGTTACTCCCAGAGACGTGTGCTCAACGGTGCAAGATACGTGTTTCTTAACTCTTTTTTCTGTTTAACTAACTCTAGTTTTGCAGGTATCGATGTTAAAAGAGTGATTTAGGATCGCAGAACGTTCTGGATCATTCTCCGTCCCTGTCGCTACCTTGACTTTTGTTTTTGAAACTTGCGTTTCTCCAAACTCAATTCCTAATATGGATTTATCATTCCTAATGCAATTAGAATTGATTTTAGTCTTCTAGATTCTTGTAGAAGGTTCTTTTTATTTCTAATCCAATTACCATTGATAAATTGACTTTGGTTGATTGTTTAGAGTTTTAATCAGAATAAAAGAATGTTTTTAAGGAAAATACGATTTTGCCCTTCTATACGGCTAAATTTTATCAGAATTAAGAAAACGCGTGAAATTAATTGTTAGCGCCTGACGAAAGGGATTAGTGCCTGGTGCTAATGCTAGCGCCTGCGCGCTAATGTTCAGCGTCTGGCGCTAACCTGTTTTATTCTCGTCGAAACTCTGATTTGTTTTTCTATCCGTTTGGCTGATTATCTCTATATATAGCCTCCTAAAACCTCTATTTTCAATTATCAAAAAATCATCAAATATCATCAATTATCTATTTTTCTTATTCACTAGCTTTTAAGAATTCTTTACTCTCTCTAGCTTTCTCTACAAAATTCCGCATTCACAAGATCTAGACACACCTAGCCAAGTTCGAAGTTGCCTTAGCCCTAGACATGAAAGGTTTTAATTTCTGAGGGTTTGGTCCCAAATCTCTATTTCAATTATTTAATTTAATTGTTTGTTTAATTATTTTCCTTGAAGTTACTAACGTGTGTATTTTGTTATAAGAAAGAGATACGAGGCATCCAAGTAAGTGCTTTAATTGATTTATTGATATTATGATATAGAAATCATGTCTAGGTTGTTATTATGATTCCCAGTGTCATGTTAGGGTGTTTTGATCTTCCTAGTATCATTTTTAGGGTAACAACCATAATTTCTATTATCAAATATGACAATTGTGTTTCCTGCAAAGCTTCCTATTTTCTTCCTAATATTCATGTTAGTATCATGTTAGGGCTAAAGCTTTGATCTTTATTGTTTAGTGACATTCTAGGGTTTGTTATTAATCTTGTTAGTATCATGCTTAGGATCTTGAGATTAACATCATGCTTTAACATGAATATGCTTATGATTGTTATGATGATTATTATGTTGCTTTATATTTATTTGTTATTGCTTGATCACGCCTTTTATGCATGTTTAAAGAATTGGTACTTGTAATCACGATTAATAAGATAAATAATAATCTTGTTTAGGGTTAATTTGATTATAATTCAAGTGATTGTCAATAATAGTTTTATTTGCGCATTAATATTCAACTAACTAAAATAAACAGGTTTAGGGATAATCCTATTGATTGCATGTTAGTCAAAAAGTGCACACGAATACGATCAGAATAAAGTAGAGGCCTATTATTATGGCAGGTTCAATCTCTTTTAGGTTGGATTTGTACCTTCATCCCCAAAAGATCTATTGGAGTTGAAGATCTCCTAGATCGTTAAGGGGTGTAACCTTCACCTCGTGAACGGTTTAAAAGTTCCTAAAACTTGTTGGCGACTCTTTTGCTCTATCTTCTTTCCCTTTGGACGCCACCGTACTTAGTGTATGATCACAATGGGGTTTAAGCTAGGGATAATGCTTGAAATATTCCCTACAATGATGCATGTCCTTAGGTAAGGAGGCTAGGGACAATTACATCATGTGACACGATAGATGAATGAACTTAGGTCATGGAGCTAAGCATCATGTATGGTGTAAAGAAGCGATCTTGAATGTCACTTAGGTCTGGAAGCTAAGCACGTATATAGATGAAGTAATTATTGCATAACGAATGTTTCTTAGGTTAAGGAGCTAAGCATGATATGCTTTGTATGATTAAAAATCATTAATATATAAATGTTGCTCATCACATTATGTGATGCGTGAAACAATGAACATTGCTCAGGTCAGGAAGCTAAGAAAGTATACAATGTTCCTTTTAATGAATGTTATCCTGAAAGATGATGAAACATGCATAGTAGGGAAACAAGATTTCATGATAAAGGGTTCCTAATTAAAGATGATATGGTTATGTATGTGTGAAAGAAGTGTGTGAAAGTGATACTAAGGCTGGATGCAAGGGTTATGGTGATGGAAAGAAATGTGAGATGAGTCAAAGATGTTGACTCTTTAGGCAGGGTAAGCTAATGTGATGTGGGTTCATGTCCCCAAATCTAGCTCTAAATGGGTAGGGGTAAGCATTGGAATATAGTATTTTACCCCCGTCCCTTGGTCATAATTAGTAGTATTTTTGGCTCTTTAAAGCCACTTTTATTACCAATTGGTGTTTTCTAGTGTTTTCGTAGTTTTGGTTGAGTTTTGTAGGAAATCGCACTATTGGAGCATTTTCCCGGGTTTTAATGGAGCAAATACGGACATTGGAGGAGCACAATTTGAAGCCCAAGGCCGGTTAGAGTCATCAAACCGATGATTAAGGGCTCGACTTGTGGAATACGAGCCCAATCGAAGTTCCAAGCTTCAAGTTTGATATCTGGATTGGGCTAAGAAGTAAGCCAAATCGAAGTTCCAAGCTTCAAGGAGAAGTCGGGCCCGATTGGGCAGGCATTGGCTCGATCGGGCGCGGCTGCTCAGAAGGATGTGCGAAGAAAAAGGCGGGCCCGATCGGGCGAACGTTCGCCCGATCGGGTTCATGTTTCTAGGGAGGCATCTTCGGCGAATTCTTAGTTTCTAATTAGGAGTAAATTTAGATTATTGTTTAAGTACGATTTTAATGCTTTTGCTTAGTACCTCTCTTCTTAGACTTTCTCTCTGTACTTAGATTATTTTCTCTCTCTAGTTTTCTCTCTCTTACAACTAACTCTTGTTCTTGACTTAACTCTTTAATTTCGATTACTTTGGTAACGATTTCTTATTTTATTAATTTCAGCAATTTTATTACTTTACTTCTTCATGACTTGTTTAATTGCTTTGATTAGTTTAGTTTTAATTATGTCCGAGTAGTTTAATTCTAGGGTTTTTGGAGATCCATAACTAATATGAAGGGATAATTTGTTATAGTTGATTATTAATATTGCATGATAATTTCTTATTGAATTGTTTTAATTCTTTACAATAGGATTATGAATCGAGCCGATGTGACTTGATTGTAAAAGTATAGCAATATTGAATTAATGAATCGTGCAGATGTTAATTTTATATTAAAGGCTATTTCCAATAGGAACTTCAATTTAATAAATTGCGAGAGCTTGTTAGATGCACGTTGGTTAATAAATTGTGAGAGCCTGTTAATCATGTTATTTGTGAAATGATAATTATCGGTTGTTATGTTTTCTTCCGGATTATTAATTATTTGTGAACTTGTGACGCTAGGCTTCTTATTATTGATTTTCTCCCTAAACGTATTCTTCGTAGTATAATTCCTTTAAATAACAACTTTTGGTTACTTAATAATTTAGATTATAATAATTAATTAGGAATAGAAAGACTTGTTTCCCTCTGGATTCGACCTTACTTCCTTATCTACATTAGTTAGAGGACTTAGGTAATTCTTTTGATTAGGTGATACGACTTTAGCTTGTCAAAATTTGGCGTCGTTGCCGGGGAAACGGTTTTATTTTTATTTTTGATTGTTTTCTATAGTCTAGGTTATTTCTTCTTGTCTTAGGGAACATTAGTTCTTTGAGGCAAGTCTCA